TCAGGTGTATAAGCCGCGGGGTGGTCCTATCTTACATCGAACTGCTCAGCCGCCTCACTGCGTTTTGAAAGGCGATCCTTATGCCGGACGTTTCTAGGCAATAAGCAGCCGTCGTAAGTCCTTTGGTTGTAAGTCTTCGGCGTATTCGGGCTGGTCGATATAAGATAGGACCACCCCGCGACTTATACACCTGAAAATAGGGTAATGACCATCTCGACTCAAAATGCATTTCTTGTCAATAACCCTAAGCTTTACTTTACCAAAAAAAGAATGATTAAAGGAGCAGCTTGGTAGCAACCAACCACGCGTGCAATGGCTTCGAACTGAGAAGAGATGAAAGTACCGCAAAGCTTACTTAGTCCAATCGTACCAAGCACATAGATGAGGGTTGGACGTGTGCAGTAGAAAGCGCCATTCAACCATAGAAGTCCTGTTGCCAACGAGTTGACAGCAATGGCTGCCATATCGTAAAAACCTGTAAAACGTTGCAGATTCAGTATCGGTGAGAAGTGAGAGGCAGTCAGAAGCATTCAGCTACGAAAGCTTTTTCAACTTACCCAGAGCCGTCATGATCTTATAACATGATAGCTGGCGGTACTCCTTTTTTAACATGATCAACAAGGCCAATGTATAGAGGAACTACAATTCCATAACTTAAGCATGATTTTGCCTTTTTTAAGATTCCAACCTCCGCAATCAGACCATAAATAATCGAACAGATTCCCAAAACATAGTTTGCTTTACCATGTTGCCCGGTAGAATTCCTGCGCAGTTTAGAAATGTCTTGGGATATGTCATTTAACAGTAGTTTAGATGAGTGATACCGACCAGCAGTCGTACTTTGGTATTTCCTCAGCATTCCAACCGTATCTAATGAGCTGCTCCATCGAGGCGATCTTTCAAAATGCTTACAGGATCCTATGAGGAAAATAAAGTGCAAAATCAACAATCTAGTTTGCACTGTTATAAAATATTCTTAATGAAATTATGAGAACAGTTTTGCTAGGAAGGAGTCTAACTGTTAGATTACTGTGACAACAGCTGATATTAGGGCTTGCTCATCTCGCTGGTTTTTATCCATGCGCAATAAGTGTCCATGAAACCTGTTATTTTCAAATACAAGCATTCATTAACTTAGGATGACGAGTAAATTAAGAAAACTTCCTTCTACTACATCACTATTTGCAGCCTGAGAGCATACTGAAGAAAATATCACTAGTTTGTAACTTGCAGACGAGCACATA